TTAATTAAAAATCAAAATTAACTTTTCTTTTTAAGGAAGAATACTTTGATAATGTTTCTTCCTATGGCTCAAAGTGATGTCTCCTCCACCCCCATGCCCACTGCGGTTTCATCACATGGATTGTTGAACAAATTATTTCATAGATTAGTCTACTACCCAAAGTTATAGGCAGAAATCATTTGGGAATCCAAATTTTTTACTCTAAATACAGGATTAGATCTTGTTGCTGTCAAATGAGCAGGGGTAGAGATTTTTTATGGAAACTGCATGCTCTACAGATCAAGAATCCCAGGTATTAACATTCCAATTTGAAAGCTCAAATTCTGAGAAAAACTCATCTTTACAGGTCTAATAGATTGAAAACTGATAGAGGTGGCCAAAGCTCTGCCAGCCTTGAAGGTACTTATCTGACAAAACTGCTAGCATGCTACAGCAGAAGGGTTCATGTTGAATTACCATTTAATCTTCGACTTTTCAAAATAAGAATCCTAGGGAATGCTATAGCACTCTAACTTCCAATGAGAAGATAGTGCTAACAAACCTGAGTAAGACATGCTCTCTACTGACAGGGAATTTACAATCTAATAATGGAGAAAAGTTGAGGGCTATAATGGAAGAAGACACAGTATTTGTGACATGCTTAAGAGCGTGGGCTCTGGACTCACACTGCCTGGGTTTGAACCATGGTTTGATAACTTAACAGCAACATGAAGTTGTGCAAGTTAAAATTACTAAACCTTTCTCCACTTGTTTTCCAATCTGTTAAATGGGAGCAGTACCACACTCTTCAAAAGGGATCTGTAATTCCAAGATATTCCTTTTGGTGACTCATTTCTATACAAAGGTGTTTGAGTGTTTAAGAGTGTTCTTAAGTCATAGTGCGTGATGTACCTACCATTCATGGTGATTTAGAGGCTGAGGTTGAAGTTAGAGTATCTAGTGTGTGCTTCTAGAGCTTCTTTAACTCTCATAATCATTTTGCTTTTCTGTGCCTTGGGTTTCTTCTCTATTTAAATGAGCAAAGGAAGTTCCATGATAACAGGGACCTTACCAATCGTGTTCAACATCTAGAACAGTGCCTGGCACATAGTAGATGATGGATAGATGTTGGGGCAGCACAACTCAGGGATATTATGAAAATGGTGATACAACAGACATGCACGCAATTTTGAGAGTCATGAGTACTACCCAAAAATGACTGGATTTTCTTGTTTAAGATTCCAAAGAGAGATAAGAGATTAGAAATGATCTCTATTTACAGTTCGCTGCTGATATTTAAACATGAATTTTGGAGTCAGAGGATCTTGCCTCTACTTGTGGTTCTATCATTTAAGGCTTTGTAACCTCAGATAAGTAACCTCTACTAGCTTTATTTTCTTCACTATTATTTTGGGGTTATCACTCTTGCTTTTGAGTATATTTTAGAGCTCCAATGATGAATGGAATGAAAGCACTTGTGAATTGCAAATACTATACAAATACAAATATGCTAAGCAATGGAAACTTTATGCTCTACATTAGAGTAGTAAAAAACATAAACAAGCAAAATTGTATTCCTATTACTGAAATCTAAGGCAGTGGAGATAAAACTGTATTGTCTGCAAAAGTTGATCTTATTTAAAATATAGGGAAAATGGACACCGTCCCTGTCTTTTATACACAGTCAGATAAGCACAGCTGCAGGAGAGAAATTCTTTCCATCGTCACAACAGCTCTTTTTAGTTGTTGCATCTAGCTTTTTCTATGCCAGCTCCAAAAATAGTTCCAGTCTGAAGGAAGTGTTTTGAGGATTTGGCTAGGGACCCAGAAGAGGTTACAGGCTGAGTTAAAAAAACACACATGAAAATTCCTTCTTCAATTACCCCTATCTTACATAAAATACATGGCCAGAGTCCATTTTCTGTTTGCATTATTCATGTAAAAGTTCAAAATTTATTATTTAGTATCTGTTACTATACTTCATGGACCTTTGTAGAAAAAATATTTCTCCAGACCCTCACTGTTTATATTACGAGCAAATTATGTGTGTGTGTGTGTATGTATGTATATATATATATAAATTTGGGGGAGGTATTTTTCTTTCAAATGTATTCAGGCAGCCTATATAATTTAGTTGTCAAAATTTTCTTTAAATATAAACTCATAAACTCACAGAATATATACTTTTACAGTACTTTCCATTATATACTAAGTTAGTTACAGTATGGAACTTAATGTACTCTTGAAATTCAACTTAGTAGCACTAATTAGAATTTGTGTCCAAGAAGATTCTAAGAAAGATTGGTATAGCCAATTTCATCATTCATGAGGCTTTTTTGGTTTGTTTTCATGTGTCTGCAGACTTTTAAGAAACATAATAACAGCACTAATATATAATACACATACTATCCAATTCACCCACTTAAAGTGTACAAGGTAGTGAATAGGACCATCATCACTATCTAATTCCAGAATATTTTCATTATCTCCAAAGGAGACCACATACCCATTAAGTAGTTATTCTACTTTATCCCCTTGCCTTGGCCCTCACAATCACTAATTTGCTTTTTACTCTATGGATTGCCTACTCTGGATATTTAATATAAATTGAACCATACAATATGTGGCAATTGTGACTGGCTTCTTCCATTTAGCATAATGTTTTCGAGGTCCATTCATGTTGTAGCATCTATCAGCACTTTATTCCTTTTAATGTGGAATAATATTCCATTTTGTGGATATATCACATTTTGTGTATCCATTCATCTGTTGAGAGACACTTGGGTTTTTTCTACCTTTTAACTATTGTGAATAGTGCTGCTATGCACATGAGTGTACAAATATTTCTTTGAGACCCTGCTTTCAATTCTTTTGGTATGTACCTAGGTATAGAAGTGCTAGGTCATATGGTAACTGTTTAACATTTTGAGGAACTTTCAGCCTGCCACAGCAGGTACGCTATTTTACATTCCCACCAACAATGTATAACAACTCAAATTTCTTCCCCATTTCTGTTTTTATTAGAGCCATCCTAATGGGTGTAGAGTAGTATCACACTGTGGTTTTCACTTGCATTTCCCTCATCTGGCTACTTCCATATATTTTTTTTCTAGGGGTCATTTGCCTGACAACCTTAGCCCTCTAGAACATGGTCCTTTATGGAACATATTGTGAAAGGTCCCCTACACAAATAAGAGCAGTCATAGATCTTCTGCATGAAAGCCCTGCACTTTGCTCCCTGAGGCCCCTCATTCACTGAGTAACTCTTATTCAACATTCATGATTGGCTATTATGTTTTACAGAAGGGAGCTAGATAGTCCACTATGGCAGATATTGTGGCAAGTAAGAGTAGAAGTCTAACCACTACAGTGTACACCAGAAACTAATGCAAAAATATAATATTGAATGAAGCTGTAATTGAAAAAATAAAATTTAAAATAAATAAATACATTTTCAAGTAAAAAAATAATAGAAGTGACAAATATTCATCTGCCACCGAAGAAGAACTATAATATTTCCCAGGACATTTGTGACCCCAAGCCTTCAACCAGAGGCCAAATTATGTTCAATATTTTCTAAGAAGCAAAAGCTACATATAATACATTTTAGAAAGATTTCCATAAAAAATGACTCAAGAAATTCACCCTTTGCTTTTGAATGGATAAGCTTCCATGGATTTCCTAGATACTTAATTTCCCATTGGCATCTGAAAAATTAGGTGATATTGAACTTCATCTTGAATGTGGAAAAGACAAATAGCAAATTCAGATTCTACAAAGTTATAGAAGACATTGTTTAAAAAAAGTAAATGAAAAATTTTAAAGAACTGTAATTCTACTTTTTTTGATAAAGTTAACAGTTAGTTGATTTGCCTTGTACTCATTGCTTACTTTTGTTTTAGAAATTCCCTGTTACTTCAGTATGTGTTCATGGCATACTGCCAGTAAATTAACCTTTCATCTGCCTTATCAGCTGAATTGCTAGAATTTGTTGCTGGTTGACACTGGGTTAAACTGCAAACCTTAAAGCTGCACAATACTGAATGTATGAATGAACAGTGCTTTCTGTCTCACTTATTTGTACATGCTGAAACCTTTTTCTAAGTTGTTCCAATATCCCTTCATGGAGACTAATAGCTAATAGAGCATACACAGAAAAAAACCCAGCATCTTTTCAAAGGATTTCTTTATGTGAAGCACATGTTACATTTCTAGCCTCTATCCTGCCTCATTTTCTGTGGGTCTCCAGCTAGCTATGTCATGACCATTTTATGTGATCATAAACAATTACATTTCAAATACACATACAGAGTTACCTCGTAGAGCAACTTAAATTTTCTTAACAATTCCTGTTTTCTGGATTTTGAGAGCAGATAATCAAGCCTTCAATCAGAATGCAGTAAGGCCAGTTTAAAGACAGGTTTGTGGTAGCCTGTAAAAACTTGAGACGTGCAGGTGCATCATAACTGTGAAAAAGTCTGTCATGTCAGGTTCTGGGATTTTCTGTGCAGTAGACCCAAGAATGAATTTCTTGCCCCAAATGATCAAAATTAAGAATTCTTTTTAAAATTGGGTTGTTGCCTAGTCTTGTATTACAACAGTGAATCTAAGTATTTGCTTCCTTTTACTGTGCACAATTCTACACTGGGAAATTCACATTTTATTGACAATGGCTAATTGAAGTGTATTGCACTGTCAGTATTTAGATGCCTCCTGTTTTAAATAGGATATAGTTACTTCTTTTCTAAATCTAGAGTTTAAATCAGAAGCATTGTATGATATTTGCTAATTTTATTTTATGTTTTCCTTGCAGGTTTCTGAGGTGTCTTTTCTGAAAGCTCTTCTGCTTTGATTCCACTCTCTTTATAAACTCCTCTCCTTACCTCTCCTTACCACCACCACCCCCACCCAAAACCTGGTGTGCTCATTCTTTTAATTTCTTTGATTCTCAGTTTTTCCTCATCCTGATTTTGCAGCATTTTTTTTTTTTTTACAATTGTAACATCCTTACCAACCATAATCTTTAAAGCCAAGAAATAGGGAGAAAAACTTTTCTCCCCCTGAACTGAGACCATTTCACAAATTGAAGGGCAGCCAACAGCATATGCTTTTTGCCAAAATAATTGAAAACATCAACTGGAGAGCACATAATTCTTTTGAAAGTCCACCAGTTATTTGAAGTAACTTTGGCAGAAGAACAAAATAAAACACTCAATATTTTAACCTTTATGGTTGCCTTCTTAGAAGTTGGTTTCTAATTTGGTTTTTAGTTATTCTGATACAATTTTTATTGTATGATTGGCTTTTTGTTTGACTAGACCTAATTTGACTTCAATGAAAACCTAAGTGCTAACGAAGAAATATTTCACCAAAGCAATCTGTGATCTCTTTACATTTAGCTTGAATTCATTTTTAATATTTTAACAACAGCAGTAATACTGTCTTAGAAAGGGTGCACTTGATTTTATTTTGCTTTCAATATGACGGCTGTCAATGTTGCCCTGGTTCGTGATACCAAGTGGCTGACTTTAGAAGTCTGTAGAGAATTTCAGAGAGGAACCTGTTCTCGAGCTGATGCAGACTGCAAGTTTGCCCATCCACCAAGAGATTGCCATGTGGAAAATGGCCGTGTGGTGGCTTGTTTTGATTCTTTAAAGGTGAGTCTCATCTAAATGCACATGATGTTTAAATTAAATCTGTTTATTTCTATTTTTGAAAGATGATGTGCTTTGAAATTGGTAAAGTTAATAACATGAAAGTGGTTAAGTTTTTCTTTTGTTTGTTTTTTAAGACAGGATGTAGACCTTGTGTTTGTATAACTAAGCCAGGCTAAAGTTCACCCCATCAAAGACACTGATCAAAAGAGATAGGTTTAAAGAAAAAAATTTAAAAGTTTTTGTAAGAATGAGAAATTTCAGCCTTGCCATAATTCTTGTGTACAATTTAGGTTTTGAGTACAGTGATCTTAATCCTCATATAATCTAGAGAAGTCCTCTACTGAATTATGTTATCAAAATACAATTGTCAAGGACCGGTCAGCTTTCAGAGAATAAAGTCAGGCCCAGAGAGAATAAGGTGAAAACATCACTATCCAGAAAGAAAATGATGGCATTTTAAAATTTCTTAGTCAAAGTATATTTTGAATGTTTAACATATTGTTATAAAACTAGATTCACTTGTTTTATCTTCCTGAACTGCTTTTTGACCAATTTCAAATTTGTCAGTACATTTTGTAAGAAAAGTCCTATTGCCAAGGCCAACAAACCCAAATAATATGTACTATAGAATAAACAAAATATGAAAGCAAAGGAAATATTATGTAGAATAGAACATATATGATTGCAGAACAAACAAATGCACTGATTTTCACCTTTTACTAAGTTATCCTTAAATTAAGGATAAAGATGAATAAATTAAAGAAGTAAAAAAGCAATAGATTCCTGGTCTAATTAGTAAAATTTGCTAGGATACATTAAAATTTTTTTTCCAAAATGTGTTAAAATGAATTAAACTTAGCAAGAACTTTCAAATTTCTTGATATTACTTTATACTTGTCGTGACCAATTTTACCTTATTAACATTTTTATTTATGCACTGACTAATAGAGATGTATTTCTTCATGTGCTCTTTTCTTAAAAAAATTATCAAGTGATACTACTTAAGTAGTTACTTTTACTTATTTTGTAGTTACTAGTTTTTGTTATAAATCATTCCAGTTCAAGAATGAAAACTTATTACCATAAAGGATGGTAATCCCTACCATTAAAAATGTCTGGATTACTCTTATTTGCAGTAATTATTATGACTAAAGGCTTATTCTGTTTTCTTTATTTCAGTTTCATTCAAGTTTCTATCTACAGTTACTTTGTATATTATTTAAATCTACTGCTGCAGAACTGGGCAGTGCCATGAAGTGGAAGAGCACTGGGTTAGTTGGGGGGTGGGATATGTCTTTCATCCAGTCCATAAAAAGGATCTGTCACTGCACTAGGAATTTTACATATTTATTTTCAGGAGCTCTGTGTTGCAGTCCCAACCCCACTATTGACCTTGGCTACTTAATCTGACACAACTTGAGTTCTTTCATCTCTAACAGATGGATCTTCTTCTCTACTTATCCTCCATGATTATTGTGGAGATTTCAATAGATAATATAAATGAAATATCATTTATTATTATAAAAGTGAATTAAATGAAAGGTTTTCTTACTATTAGGAGTCTTCAAAAACAGTTCTATTAAGTTAGTGTTTATTATTTAAAAATATATACTCATGTTTCAAATATATATGCCCAAATCTAGTTGCCTGAGTGTCATGTTAGTTCTTCAAACTAAGTATCACTGTTTTTATGGTTTACTCTTTGACATAGAGTTCCTTTCAGGTTTTGTAATATCTATCTTCCCAGACATCTGGTGGAAGGATACATGTGATGTTCCTAATCATTGTTAGAGTTCAAATCAGTTCTTCCACTTAAAGATAAAGTGCCACAAAGGAAACATTTTGAGGAAAAGTAATATAGAAAGTGATTGTTAACAAAATGCATACTGCACTATCACTTTAAAGCTTGGAAAATGTTTAATTCAGAAACTCATAGATAAAAGCCAATAAATATTAATAAACCACTTATTTAAAATATACTATCTATTCACTACATTCAGAGTTTTAAAAATATTTTGCATTATGTTAATACCTGATGACCAGTCACACAGGATATGGATGATTTGCATCATTATTACACTATCAAATTTTAATGAAAACCTTAATGTTTCAAATATACAATGCCTTCCAAAAAGTTTCTATTTAGATAGCATATTTGTCACATTTCCATGTCTGCACAAAAGCTTTGTAGTTCTCTTCTTTTTTATTATCTTTATTCTAGACATGCTTGAAATGTATGCTAAGTTGAGGGTAATTGACCTATGTGGATTGTACTGTTATCATATCTATAATACACAAATTACACACCTCAATGATTATTGCAGCATTTGCTACCCCCTCTCTTGAGTTTGTATAATTGAAACACCTTCAAAATGCACCTGTTTCTTCTTTTATGAGTGGTTAAATAATTGAAGCAATCATTTGATGAGTTTTGGGCTGATGCTTTTGTTGTTTTTATTTTTTATTTTTATGAGGACTCCTTTAACAGTAGGTACTCTACCAGATGATGGTTCTTTGCCTTCATAATAGGCAAAATAAATATAATGTCCCATATTGACTCATAATGAGATAATATTGTGAATATAAAGAGGGCAAACTTGATGGCTAATTGTGCATTGTGCTGAAGTGCTCTGCCCATCACTTTGTGAATGTTGAGTGTTCAATGATAAAGGTTTCACTATCTTCAGATAGAGCCCTAGAGAGTGTAGCCCATAGATTATTTTCCAGCTACATAAAAGAGTATTGTGTTATGTTGATATGCAGCTGTTTTTTACTCAATTGCCTAGTCTGCTTGACACAATTTATTTAAAAATTTCACTCCCAAGTATTGCTTAACTCATTCTGCACCACATTTTTGATATTACAGTTTCCCATTGATTTGGTTTGGTATTTTTAGTGAATGTTTCTAGCAGTTAACAAAACATCATCATTAAAAATACCAACCTAAAATCTTTGAGATTATTTTCATAGTCAAGAATGTTATCTTCATGTATTCTGCTTCAACAATGTCATATCTTGAACCTTCCCTTCCATACCTGAAGCAGTGTGAAATCAGCCATCTGTTTTCCAGAAAGAATATAAATGCTATCATTATTTCATTATGACATATCAACACCCATCACATCTGCCCAATCCACTCACCACTTTGGGTAGTTTTGTAATAAAAGTTATCGGGAAAGGTCTTAACATCTGGCATAGTCAGAAAATAGTCATGTTAACCCATATACATTCCTAAAATATTGGAACACACACAAAACAGTCCCACACTATCTTTAAATATCTCATATGATCACAAGCATAATATTTTCACAAGTGAAACCTGTTCTATAGGCCTATGAATGTGAATCTATCCTTGTAGGTCAAATTGTCCTCAGTTGCCAGTATATTTTGCACTAGTATCACTAGTCACAACAGTTTTCACTAGTTTTAAATTTGATCATCTTTTGACTGAATCTTTACCTCATCCCTGTTTGCTAAGGGAAAATTTATAGGGAGCAGAAGACTTTTAGCAACATAATCCCAAGGGTCTTTGGATTATGCAAGATTTAGAACCATTTTTGAGCTCCAGCAGAGGTGTCTGCTGCTCTATAAAGACACAAAGGCAGCACCTGTCATCTTTAGACTCAAGGAAAATAACATTTTACTTAAGGATCTCTATCTTCTATGATATTAACCTTAAAAAGGAAGTGTCTTTGGTAAAGGTCAATGCTATTTTGGATATTTCAAACACCACTTGAAAGACTCATGGACAGAGACATTTGTTGCTTTCAGTTTTATATCCCACATATGAGTGAAATCATATGGTTCTTAACTTTTTCTGAATGACTTATTTAGCTTAGTATGGTATTCTCAAGATCTATACGTGTTTTCACAAATGGCAGTGTTGCATCTTTTCTATGGCTGAGTGATATTCCATTGTTTATACGTACGACATCTTCTTTATCTAATCATTGTCCTGGCCACTGTGAATAATGCCATTTACAATGAACACAGGTGTGCATATATCAATGAATAAATGTTTTCAAATTTTGGGGGTAGATACCCAGAAGAGGAGTTATTTGGTTAGTTGATAACACTAGTCTTAATTTTTTTTTAAGAATCTCCATGTTGTTTTCCATAGTGGCTGGGTCAGTTTACATTCCCAGCAGAGAATGAGGGTTCCCTTTTTTCCACAAACTCTCTAACACTTATTACTTGTCTTGTTGATAATAGCCATTCTAACAGAGGTCAGGTGGCATCTCGTTGTAATTGTTTTTTACAGATGTCCCATTTTTCCCCCATTGAAACCTGCTCCAGCCCCACTCCAGGCCTTCACTGCATTATTGTCTGTGTCCATGGGTTATGCACATATGCATATAAGTTCTTTGGTTAATCTCTTCCCATTCCTCCTTCCCTCTGAGATTTGTCAGTCTGTTGCTTGCTTCCACGTCTCTGGATTTATTTTGTTCATCAGTTTCTTTTGCTCATTAGATTCCACATATAAGTGAGATCATGTGATACTTGTCTTTCTCTGACTGGCTTATTTCACTTAGCATATCACTCTCCAGGTCCCTCCATGCTCTCTCAAAGGTAAGAGATCCTTTTTTACAGCACGGTATTCCATTGTGTAAATGTACCACAGCTTTTTTATCCACTCATCTACATTGTAGTTTTGATTTGCATTTCCCTAATAGCTAGTCAAGCTGAGCATCTTTGCATATATCTGTTGGCCATTTGTATGTCTTTTTCAGAGAATTTTCTGTTCAGATACTCTTCCCATTTTTTTTACTTGAATTATTTGTTTGGTGTTGAGTTGTATGAGTTCTTTATATATTTTGGATATTGACCTCTTGTAGGAGCTATTTTTCTGATCAGAAAAATTAAAAAACAGCTTTTTTAGAAAACTGATATAGAGACAAATTTATTTTTAAAAAATATATACTTCCATTACCCAATGAAATTCTTAATATATTTCTTTTCAAAATTTCTTTTTAAAAAATATATCTTTATTGATTTCAGAG